AGCTTCTGTGTTTCCTCTGCATTGCAAAGATGAATTTTGTTGATTGATACTTTCATTTGATTGATAACAGCCCAAATGTCTTATTATAATTGACTGATTAGATATAAGAATTTGACTCAAATGATAATGCACACTTTTAGAAAAAATGGCTTTAAGGTAAAAATGACCATAAAAGGTAAAAATCTATTTAAACTTATTGGAAAAGATTAATTTCTTGTCACTGCTTTGAACTGACCACCACACAGAATATGAATATTAAAAATTTTAGGAGTCAGCTGTCCACTGTAGTCCTTAAGATATCAGCACAGTAACACTCTTTTTTTCAAATTATTGTTATCGATAAAATCCCAGAAAATATCGAGATAAAATTTTTTGTCAATATCGCACACCCCTAGCTGCCAGCCGTTCGGTGCAACTGGCAGAGCTGAATGGGATGTAAAATTTAACACCGCATACAGCATCCTAACCCTCGCCAAAGAAGAGCTTAACTTTAGGGCCAGCTGTCTCTTTAATACCGGGTGGTTTATATACATGTTGCTGCTGATTGGGCTGACATTTTTGACACACCCACCAAACAAGAGAACACGTATCTCTAACCCCATTGCACACCGTTGCACACCGTTTCCAGGAAACATGTCGTTCAAACCGGAAACCGTAACAAAACGTTGCGCACCGGTTTGAGCTTGAACTTGCACCTGGTTTCAGATGATTCTTGTTTCCACAGTAAGAGAAACTTCTTTGATTGGTGAATTTTGTTTCAGAATTGTGGGTAGTGTAGTACTTTGCATCCAAACGTGATTAAAATTGAATCTGCCAGCACAGTTTGTGGACATGAAAGGGTCCTTAGTGTGGAAAGGTTTGAAGACCATGGAGTAGACATTTTTTGGGTGAAGTGCCCTTTCAGTCCACCAGATGTCAATATTGAATAGGAGTGAAAGAGCTAATGGCACTCACCGTTTGACTAGTGACTAATTACAGGTGCATCTCAATAAATTAGAATGTCATGGAAAAATTCATGGATACAGCACTCTGTGAACAGCCAGCTTCTTTGGCAGTGAATGTTTGTGGCTTACCCTCCTTGTGAAGGGTGTCAATGATTGTCTTCTGGACAACTGTCAGATCAGGCATGTCACCATATTCTAATTTTTTGAGATAGTGAATTGGTGGGTTTTTGTTAAATGTGAGCCAAAATCATCACAATTAAAAGAACCAAAGACTTAAACTACTTCAGTCTGTGTGCACTGAATTTATTTAATACACGAGTTTCACAATTTGAGTTGAATTACTGAAATAAATGAACTTTTCCACGACATTCTAATTTATTGAGATGCACCTGTAGATGTTCAGTCTAAAAATGTCAGATGCTTTTCTCTGAATTACGCATTAATATTTTAAATAAATACGTCTTAAGATCACAAAAGGACTATATTATTTTTCTGTGTCACACTCGTTGCTTTATTATGTTGTGTGTGAGATTTATTTGACAGCATGCAGAACTTTAAGCTTTTTAGTAGCACATTTTATAGCACCTTTTCCAGTTGTGAATCCACACGTTTTGCTCTTGTCTGTGCTTTTTACACATCGATCTTAAGTGAGTTTACAACTTGTCTGGAGTGATGATCAGAGCTGTAGACGCACGCGCGCGTGGTGCGCAGCCGCAGGAGAGGCGCGTGGAGTCAGTGTCAGGGCGCTCCGAGGGATCACAGCTTGATCACTCTGCACGCATTCACACGCTCAACCCCAGTGTTATGCATCCTTTTAAGCCAAATAAGAAAGGGGGAATACTTTCGCGCGGTGTTTCCCTGTCTGGCCATCGTGTCTCGTCCACGGGTGGCGGATCTTTGTTGTGTTTGGTGTTTTCGAGTGAACAGTGAGTATTACCGGAGCGCTCCAGTCTCCAGAAATCAGCGGTGTGTTTGACTTTCTCGTCCGGTATGGCCTCATCGCGCCAGGACTACATTGCACCGTGGTGGACCTACTGGCTGCACAATTTCCCGCATCTTAATTTTAATTTCCAGACTGTTGATAAAACGTTTAAACCGGAGGACGCCAGCTATCAGCAGGTGAGAGTTGTTTGGATTTGTTTGTAGTTTATGGAGGGGAAACCGAGTGGAAACTAAAAGTAAATATGATCATTTTTTTTACTATAGCTGCTGGGTAAACAACTGACACATTTATAGATTAGTCCACTATGTAATGACAGTACATGTTAACTTAAATTTTGAGTCGTGTTCTCAGGACAAGAGTATTTTTATAAGTATTATTTTAATGAAGGGAAGAACCTACAATGTAGGTTTATTTTTGAAAGTCAGTTTCTATATAGACAAATACTTAACAACAACAAAAAGAAGCAATTGAACATCTACACTGTTACGGCTTGAAGAGAGGGGGAAAATAGAGTTCATTGTACACAGGTTGGCTTGACCACAATTGGAGAATTTTATCATACTACATGGGGCAAGTTGTCACCGTGTAACAGGCCAATAAACAGTTTAAGACTTTTCAGAATTAAGTTAACAAATATGAGTTAAGCAATTAATTAGTCTATAAATAAATAGTGCAAAATATCAAGCCATTGTTTAAGCCATGAACAATTATTAATTGCTTAAATTTCACCATGAAGTAAACCTGAGTTAGACATTTCATTAGACTGCAAATAAATAAATAATGAATAGAATAACGTACAAAAGTATCAATGCCTTTTTTGACTGGCAAATATTATAATTAATAAATTGCATAAATCTATAACATTTAAAATGTGTGATAACTTACCTCAACCTGATATGAATGAAAAACACCTGAAACATATCTGAAATAAACCTTTAAGTGAAATTGCCTTATTTTTATAGTTGATTCTTGTCTGTATGACAGTGTGTAAAACAAGTTTACTAGTTTTGATGCTTTTTTATAGCTTTTAATTTATTGCTGTTTCATTAGTTGTTGTTTTTTCTGTTTTAATAATTGATTTGCTGTTTAAATTAATTTGAAAACCTATTTAATACCCTATTATAGGCTACATTTTAAATAAACAACAAATACATGTTGCACAGTAGATGGCTATTTACTAGTAGCCTAGTCATCTCAAATCAGTGTCAGTGAACAGCAGGTTTTTACCATGTAGCATGACAGTAGGGCTGCACGATAATGACAAAAATCATAATTGTCGATTATTCCCTTGAAATTGTAATTGTGATTATTAATTACGATTATCACAGTTTACATTGAATGATGTTTATACCATCGTTTGATGCAACTGCATGCCGTATTTTTATATGAAAATAAGCTGAAAACACTAACTGAAAAACCTTTAGTGCTTTTCTATAGTATTAAGCCTCAAATGTCAAATATACATCGGATTGGTTTCTTCTTTAAATGATTAAAAAAAGTAAAAATATGAATGGTATTATAATGTTATACTAAAACAATGGAAAAACCCTTAAGATAACATGTAGAAAGAAAAAAAACATCTTAAGCGTGCAGAATAACATAAGTGGACTTTGAACGATTAATTGCCGCTTTGAACGATTATGTAATTGTGGCATCCATAATTGTAATCGCGATTAGAAATTCGATTAATTGTGCAGCCCTATGTGACAGCATATCCCACATGCTTTGTTTTCCTTTTTCTGGGCGAGAAGTGTTCGAAAGCATTTTTAAGACATGTGCCTATACAGAAACTGAATTAGAAATAAACGTACATGTAAATATTTACAGTGTGACAACTTGCCCCGGCCTCCCCTCTGAGTAAGCAGCTGTAGTGGCCTTTTCTTGCAGGTGTAGTAGTGGAACATGCAGGATGAAATTGGGTGTGAAAAGTAATTTTGTAATGGATGACAGGTTTCTCTCGACTTGGCAACTGTGTAGGACTATCTCAAACAGGAGCTGACTTCTGTGACTTCTACTCTATATGCATACTCTTATTTGTTCCTATAATCCAAATTCATTACCTTTAAGACAAGAATTCCACACTTTAATTATGAAATATATTTTGTACCTTCAGCATCCTGGGATTTTGATCTAAAAATGTCACTGAACTCTATAAATGCGCAGTATCTGGTAAACACAGATGTGTCTGGTGGGTCAGATGTCTATTAAAAAGACTCTGTTTCTACAGGGTGATTTGTACCTTAGCACACGATACTCTCTCCAGAGGAACATTTTGCTCATTGATTTAGTCTATATTTCTGCTGGGGTTTTTATCAAAAAGGATATTACGTGCCTTGTTCAAGGTCGCATTTCTCTGGGTTACTTGAGGAAATCAATGGAGCGGCAGCACAAGTTTATTTCATCTCTCATTCTAAAATAAACTGCTTGTCAAATCTTTGTCTCGATTAGATTCCCTTGCTAGTGCTTATTTGAAATCAATAACAATAATCGTTCTTCTGAACATATTTCCAGTACCATCTCAGGGGTGTGTGATATCAAGAGATTTGTTGACATTGGACATATTTGAAATTCACATCACATGAAAATGCCAGTGTGCAACTATTATGTGTGGTTTTAGTTTTGGTGATATATATTGACATTTCTAAGAGCAAAGACACTAATTCTCACAATCTTTTAGGCGTCTTTGGTCTTTTAAATATGTACCTTTAGAAATACCAAAATGGTAAATAAAATGAGTAATTTTGTATGTTAGTAGTAGCATCATGGGTTTCTTTAAAGTACCTGTTTGATTAATATGATCAGATGCCATCACTATAATACCATAGTACTTTCACAGTGCTTTTTTGTCAGAATCAGAATATGTTTACACATACGAGGAATTTGTTTTCGTGACAGAAGCTTCCACAGTGTAACAGAATGACAGTGACAGAACAAAAAACACAGATAATAAAAAATAGAACAAGTAAATAAGGAATAAAAATATATAAATCGACAATGTGCAGGTATATTACAATAGACAGTTTTGTATGTACAGGTACTGTATATTATGTGCAAATTTTAGGTGTAGACTGAGTATGAGTGTTAGATAAATAAGTGTATGAGTGAATAAATAGTGTGTGTTCCACAGTTATTTTCAAGTGTTCATGAGATGGATTGCCTGAGGGAACACTCACTTTGTAAGGAAGTGTATGTAGCCTATATGAAATATGTATTTCCTGCTTGCCCTTTTAGGCCTCCATCTCTCCTCTGCATGTTTTTTTTAGCACTCACTGGCAGGAAGTTTGGTTTAATGCTGTTAAACTTCCTCTTATAACAATGCATGGGACAAATATAGAGATCAAACTTTTTTTCTCTCAGGTGTTTCTACTTCGATTTCATAGAAGAAATAAAAATGAGAATTCTTTACATAAAAGTACGGAGAAGTAGAACCAATGTGAATAGTGTAGTAGTGCTGGGCGGTATACCGGTTCATACCAAATGTCAATAAATGAGTACAAAACAGCATTTCCTAGCACCTGTCGCTTACTGATTGTTTGGAATTATAAATATGAGCGTAGTTCAACGTAGCGTAGTTCAGACACAGGCAGTGCGCTGCATGAGACAAAAAAGTAATATAGCCAAAACAACCGCATAGCCGCTCTTTAGTGTAGATGCATGTTGATTTTATCAGACGATGCCGCGATTATAAATGAGAGTGACTCCTGGTTAACATGTATTAAAAGGGGTCGTGTTTAGTCACTATTTAGTGTGGTATTATTTGACAATATTCACTCATCATGACAGTAAAATAAGGCATTCTAAGTCAATATACTGCAGTATTTCCTCTCTCGATCAGTAGAAAATATGGTTAACACCCGGTCATGCATGAAAAAAAAAAATACCGTCATGTACCGTGAAACCGGTATAATTTTGAAAAATACCGTGATATACATTTTTGGTCATACCGCCCAGCACTATAGTGTAGCTCTGAATATTTAGTTTTGGAAAAATATGATGAGAAATGTCTGAAATCTGATTGCAGACAGCGGTGGATACACTACACAAATCAGGTACTTACAGTCTGGCGTAGCCACACTTTTGGTCCTTGGCTAAAATTTACATTTTAAAATCACAGAGAGGTATTTGTTCAGCATTAAAATGAGTGGTAGTCCTTTTCAGTGTTTTCTTAAGCTAATAATATATCTAATATCTCAGATATCTATCTATATCTAATATCCGGCTGTCCTTCTGTTAGCCCTGGATCACAAGACTCCAGAGCTGTTGTGCTTTACTTTGATCACATGATGTTCAAGTCTAAGACTGAACGTTTCTGTTTCGCCTCAGTCCATGTGAGTTACCATGGCGATGCGCATGGGGGCCCAAGCTCGCCCTCATAACAGCCATCATGCGATTTATCCACCCACAGCTGCCATGAACACAAGCACATCATCGAGATACATAATCTCTGAGAGATGCGGACACCTCTGTTTTTCAGTTTTCTACATAGAGACCATTCAGGAAAACATAATGTCTTTCCTCATAGGTAACATCACAAATAATGTACAAATAACTGTGTACCAGAAGTGTAGGTCAGAGCATTTGCATTAGTTTTAAACTAAATCTATATTTTTGTCTTGTTTTAAAGCCTTTTGTTTTGTTCACATAAAGTTTTGTTAGGTTTATGCCTAAAACAAGACAAAACTATTTGGCAATATGGTTACAAAGAACACATTTAATTCAAGATATATTCTCTGAAAGTATTTTTTTTTTATTAATTAAGTGTAATTTTTCTGATGATCTTGTGGAAAGAAAGACAAAAAAAATGCTGATTAAGAAAATGTAATGAAATAAACGTTTTATTGAATTGCAACACTGACGACAGATGGATCAGTCTACTTCCTGTTTGTTTTGACCATCTGCTCCATGTTTGCCTGACTCTATTTGGCAGTCTCTGATCTTCCTGGCCTGTGTGTCTGCGGTGGGTCTGGGCTTGAGTCTGCTGGTGCTCTCCGCTTTTCTGACCTGCCTGTGCTGCTGCCGTAGGGAAGAGAATGAGGAAGTCAAAAGGCCCGACACCTGCTGTGTCACATGGGCTGCTGTTATCACCGGTTTGGTCATATGGTGAGTACCTTCACTTTGTTTTGGACCCACTAGACTAGGATACACAGGAACTGAGTTTATTTATAGTTTTTAGATCTTGTTTTGAATACATCATTTGCATGTCAGTAAATGCTGATGCAGATGCAATAAAAATGAATACTTATATTCAGCAAGGATGCATTAAATTCAGCAAAAGTGACGGTAAAGACTCTTTAAATGCTGCTAATGATTTCTGGTTTAAATAAATGTTGTTCTTTTGAACTTTCCATTCATCAATGGCTCCTGAAGATTCAGCTTTGCCATAAAAGAAAAAAATTCATATTAAAGTATATTAAAATATAAAAAATGTAATCATAATAAATATAAATATTAAAAATATTGGTGTTTTTACTGTACTTTTGATCAAATAAATGCCTCCTTGATAAAATTAGTGTCGTCCTGTAGAAACATTTAAATTATATTGCAGACACCAAACATTTGTATAAGAAGAAAAACGTATTAAATAGTTTGGCCTAAACTTTTTTTTATCTTTCAGGAAATTATTATTTTTTTTTAACAAAATTACTTGACAGCGTATTAGTATTCAAAAACTTTAGTCACCAAATCTAAGGCTATGTTGCTCATATTTTATTTTTTTTTGTGTGTGGCTATGGCCAATATCAGATTCCAATGTGAACTAATCATGGTCCTGAACTGACCCACGTGTGCAAAAGAACGATAACAAGGTAGCATGAAGCACGCTGTTATACTGAAGTAAACATGGAGGCCACTGAAGTAAGCATTTACATGTTTAAAAAGAAAGAGAGCAAAGTTTTTAAATGTTTATGGTACAACCCCGTAAATTTAGCTTGTATGGAGCTGTCACTGTGATACTCATGATCAACTCGTGATCACCTCTCTGTCTCTCCACTGACTACATCTGCAACTGTCATGTTCACTGGGTGATCAAAGAACTACCGTATGTATGCAAAATCTTTGGAGTGATTCTGTTCATGGAATTATGACGAATGTCTATCTGAGTGACATAAAAGTGAATTCCGAAATGACCGTTCAGACTGAGGTTGTATTGCAAAACATCTGATCTAGATCGGATTCAGGAGTCAAGTCAACTTTATTTATATAGCGCTTTATACAAAACAGATTGCTTCAAAGCAGCTTTACAGTATTAAAAAGGAAAATGGTGTTTTCGATAATACAAGAGGACAAAAGTAAACATTCAATTTTTCAGTTAAAGTTAGTTCATCATTGAACTGTGATGTCATCGTCCGCTTATGAAAGTGACCCAAATTAGAATCAGAATCAGAAAAGATCAGATTCCATGTGGTTTTGTGCAGTTCACACTGTCATTAAAAAGAAAAAGAAAAAAGAACTGTTACATATGAGCAAAAAAAATCAGATTTGTGCAACATTTTACTGCAGTGTGAACCTAAGTCATTTGGTGCAATCAACATGAAGAAAAAACAAAACAAAACAGAAAGTGATATCATAGAGAGGACTCTTGTGAGTGTATGTCATCGTCATGGTCAATATTTAAATGTTTAAAAATTTCAGGATTATGGATTTTTATTTTTCGTAATCATGGACACGCATAGGGACCATTCACACAGAATGTGTTTTTGCATTCAAATTTGAGCTTTGTGTTTTCAAAATATTGTGTAATGTATGAGATGCTGCATAAGACACAAGATGAGAGTGCAGCAGTCAAACGTGACCATCTAACAATGAAAGGACTATTTTTTTTTAGACCCTTTATCCAAAGTTATTTACCTTGCAGGGGAAAAGGGGAGAAAAAGGAAGATGAGTCATGCAAGATGTGCACATTTCATTCAGAGCCACTGAGTAGGAAAGGGTCAGAGGGCATTTAAAGAATTTATTTGTTATTTAACCTGTGACATTTCATTTAGGATGTCTGCGTTTGGTTTGGATTTGTTATGCGACGGGTTCATGGGTAAGATTTGAGCTGTGGAAGAGATATTTTTAGTATTTAAGCCACATACCCTGTGACCTCGCATAGTTACTTGATCTCCCAAGCGGTGGAGCAAACAGAGCGCGAACTGCTGCTTTCAGCTCCGATTGGCAGGAAATTAGAAGGAAACTCAATTCTAATTTTGTGAGAATTAATCCTCCTTCACCTCTGCTCTTATCGAGCTGGATGTTGCGTAAATGTATTCCCTGCTAACCAGCACACACCTGTGACAGTATCCATTATGTCCAGTGAATGAAAACATGTGAGGATCTCTTATGCACAAAGTCGTTTGTTGGTGGATCATGATTACCATGTGGACCATGTTGAGGATCCATCTCTGGTAGTCAGGACAATGGGTGTGTGTGTGGGTGCGTGCGTGTGCGTGTGTGTGTGTGTGAACAATATCATTACCTGACCTGAAGCTCAGTTCACCCAGGTGAAAAATAAATATATTTAAATTGTGCTTTTTCAGACAGTATAACTAAGCATATATTTAATACAAAAGTACTTCTAGTATACTTTTTAGAAATATATTAAAATGCAATTCAATATATTTTTATTGCACTTCAAATAAGCATGTTGGGAATACAAATGTATTATAAACATACTACTTGAATTTCAAGTATATTTTTAATACATTTAATACTACGTCTTTTTCACCTGGGCATACCCCCAGGAGAACTTCTAAATCGATTTCAGACCTCCAGAGCATTGAGAGTTAGCACACTGCTAACACCATTTGCTTTTCATTATGTCAATAAAAGAGAACAAATGTTTTTGCTAATGTGCTAAATTGAATTGGCAGAGGGTTCAGCTTAAACTTGTGACAGTCATGAAAGTTTGAGCCCTGATTGAGTTAACATTCCAAATCTAGACAGGGCTAGTTGTCATGCTAAGTGCTGTTGCGTGATGCTGCTAAAATCCAGCTTAACCCTTTACTTGTGTACTAGAGGTCTGCTACCCTCGGTTAACCTCGGGTTCGGGTTAATGTTTAATGAATAGCTTCGGGTTCGGGTCGGGCCGGGCCAGACGATCTCGGGTATGGGTCGGGTTCGGGCTTCAGTTTAAAGCCCGTGCAGACCTCTATTGTGTACGAGCATCCTAACACTCTATTGTAAGTTATTGGCTCTCTTAAAGACTTACATAAAACCCAAACTAGAGTTTTGTGGCTTTTAGCCAATGCCTGTTAACTTTACGGTCACTAGAGTTCTCCTAAATGTTGACAGAGCTGAATTTTAAGATCTATATTCTTTCTCTTCTGTCCACTTCATTGATTATAAGTAAACATTGTATACTGATCATATTATTTAAAATATTTTTTTAAGTTTAAAATATTTAGATGAATACAGATGAGTTTGAGAGTTTAGGGAGACTTGCAATATATATATTTTATATAGGGCTGTGCGATATTGAAGAAAAATGCGATATGCGATAACTCTATGGTTATTTGTATGTATGTATGTACCAAGAGTTCCTGTAAAACCCCAACAAATTCCTTGTGTTTGTGCACACTTAAGTGGTGAATAAGCTCGTTCTGATTCTGATTCTAATAAGAAAGCACCCCTACAACAACTTCTGAAAGTGAACGGTATGTGTTTTACTCGAGCATTACATAAAAATGTCATTTTAACATTAGTGTAATCATTTTAACATGAGTTTAGGAACTGAATAATAAAAAGGAAAAATAAAACACTGCTTAGTATTTACTCTTTGAATTCAATATGCACTGATTATTATTATAGCTACAAAAGTTATTTAGGTAAGAGCAGTGAGTGATTTTCTCTTTGTCTTTTGTTCATGGCCCCAAATATTGCAAGC